TCGCAATCTGGTGAGGGCATTCTTATCAATGTATATATATATATATATATATATATATATATAGAGGACTTGCACGGGTCACGTGACTTTGTTACTGGACGGCAATAAAACAAAAACGTCCATTTGGCTCCTGTCAGTTGCAAGTCGGATTATACGTTTCCGTTTTGTTTGGCTGTTGAAAATGGTTATTTCGTATTGTTCCGTTGGCTGTACGTATAGTATATAGACAACGAAATGAATCTTAAGTTATATTCCACTGATTTCAAAAGCTCCTTAACGTCGCGCAATGTGGATATCATCTATTGCCTATTGGCAGAACTGCTTGGTGTCAAGTCCAGAAGCCATCTCACTTGTGTTTCACTGTTTGCAGACAGCACTTCGTTGATGGTGAGTGATAATGTGGTGATAGTGTGCCGTTATCAATTTCTTTAAATATTCACAAGCTCCCTCATTTCAATGGAAAGCAGATGACAAACTACTATTATTAGTAGACCTAGGCGTGGGCCTACTTGCAGTTGCAGACTTGACTTGTGTAAGACAGTAAGGAATTAATAATCAATTGCTATAAGCCTTATAGTATAAGGTATTGTTTCCCTAATTAGCAGGTAATCTATTACTAAGTGTGAAAGGTTGAATTGATAACTAAAGTTTAACACCATGGGGCCTGGAAAAAATAACCAGAATTCAATTGAATTCGCCATCTAGGAATACGCTCGCCACCGCATCTCTGATCACCCTGGTAGTTTCACAGGCTTCAATCCCATGCGGGGATAGTTATGTGCGAGAGGATTGCAGCTCTACTCCCACCGAGGGTGGTTCACATGACCGCTGATCGGTTACGACCATTCCCCACCATCCAAGTCCATGCTCCCCCCCCCCCCCCCCCCCTAGATAAATCCTATTCTAATGGTACTTGTACAACTGATCCAAAATGTCTTTTTATTGTCATTGGTAAAAAAGATATGCTATCCGGAATCAAATTCATTTACGACTAGTGGCTGTGGTGGGATATGGACATAAATTTCACACTCCTTGATCGTTAGATTTTATGAAAACTCTATCTTTCTCCATTATCTTACAGATATTGGTGCGACCATGGAATAGATGGATGGCAAAGTATAAGTTGCAACAAGACCACAGTGGCACAAGACCTCAGCTTGCGTGACTTGATAATACATCCTCATCCTCCATTTATTGATGCTTATCGTAATGAAAAAGTAACTTGTGATTACTGTGGATTTGTGGAGATAAAGTGTCCATTGTGCTTTAACGAAAGCAACTTCAAGACGACTCTATCAAGAAAAAAAATTGTTTCGGTGGGTCTGGTAGTGAAGGTTTCAGTCTAAAGTTGGACACCGATACTACAACCAGATACAGTTGCCAATGCAACATAGCGAGGCGTAATATTGCGACTTCGTGATCTGAATGAAAATTCTGATGGGTAGCCGGCTAGCCGCAACGAGTGTTGTTCAAAGAATACTATAAGATATGACTTAAGAGTCTAAACTTTTATTTGAGAGGGGTGTAACCCAAGCTAATTTGCAAATGGTATTCATGGTACCAAATGTATCACACACTTTACAGTAATTATAAATTATATTTGAAAAATAAAGCACATCGAAAATGTATTTTTAAAAAACAATTGGTTTTATCTGCAGATACTAGGTTGATATTGAGATTGACCATTTCAATGCTAAATTTTCTTTAGTCAAAAGGCACACTTGATTCGCAAAGATTTGTGAATGCGCACAGTACACCAATTTGTCTAATGTTTTGATTCCATAGGCAGGAGGTTGTGGATCGGTGCTGCTCAGGATGGGATATTTTTGCTTATAAATGCATATTACGTGTTTCACATGAATCCATCGTGTTCAGATTCGACTGTTTTTAAGGTCTGAAGGTTTCAACAGCCTAATTTTATCGGTGCACAAGAGAATTTTCAGTGTGGCGTGCATGGGTCAGTTGGAGTCGCTAACATCAAGATATCTATAAGCAAGGATAAGATAACCTGGAAGTAACATTCCATAATTTAGAGTAAAAAATGTATCTGCCTCCACAGCCCTTTCAAATGGAAGATATGATGCCTCGGGGGTAATTTCTATTAAATATTTTACAGTATTATGGTTCTAGTGAAAAGGGGTGTAGGCGGCTTCTTTTAAAGTGTGGTAGGTCTAGTCGAAAGACACATTAAATGTTTATGCTAACAACTGCAAAGTAATATTTCAACGCATACAAGTTAACAGAATTTGTTGAAATGGTCCTGTCTTTTGCCTTTCTTCAAAATATCTTTTGAAATCAGTGGAACTTAAGATCCATTTCGTTGTCTATATACTATACGTACAGCCAACGGAACAATACGAAATAACCATTTTCAACAGCCAAACAAAACGGAAACGTATAATCCGGCGCGGCGGTGTGGCTCAACGGGCTAAGCGTTAGGAATACGCTCGCCACCGCACCTCTAACTACTCTGCGTGGGTTCGCAGGTTCGAATCCCATGCAGGGATGGTTATGTGCGAGAGAATTGCTGGACTCCTCGCCGTCGTTGGGTGGTTCACGTAACCGCTGGTCGGTTACGGCTTCCTCCACCACCAAGTCCATGCTTCCGAAAACAAACAATACAGTAAAACTAATCCCATACCCGACTTGAAATGGTAACCGGACGAGAGGCCGTGGTTCGCCATATGGATAAGCCGTCTTATCGGCTTTCCTCTCCCCCGGGATAAATATGTAAATCCTATCCTATCCTAATCCGACTTGCAACTGACAGGAGCCAAATGGACGTTTTTGTTCTATTGCCGTCCAGTAACAAAGTCACGTGACCCGTGCAAGTCCTCTATATATATATAAATGTTGTTTGCTTTGTCAGATGGTAACTGACATACTTGGATGGTATTTTTTTATGAATAGCTGTTCACTTTCCGACAATTGCATGGTTATGCTTCTTTTCTTGGTGTGGGATAAATTTTTAATTTTGTGTTGGTGATTTTAATTTGTTGTGGTTTTCTTCCTCTCAATGTAAGCATGCACTTTATGTTTAGGTAAGCTATTGCTGTGAAGTTGACTTGTTGACCAAAGTGTATATAGTGTGATATGATCAAAGTTGAGTGTTTTTACATGGTGTGACAATTGTGTCCCTAACAGAAATTGCTTTTGGATTCTCCAAACACCAATATAAAGTGATCATAATTTAATGATCAATACCTCCTGAAATCAATTCAACAATTTCATTTATCTTCTAATAATTAATAGGTTAACATATATCCATATATGCAATCTTTTAAACACCTACTCGCAGATCGTTTTTTAGACTACGTCACAATCATCGAATGACGTGAAACCTGCGGCCGTCGTGAAAAAATAATGCGGCCGTCCACATACAAAATCCTATAAACAAAAAAAGTTTAAAATATAGGATTTGGCGGCTATGCTGGCGTATATTGAAACAAAACAGAAGCACTGCAAAAAAGTCATAGGACACAATGCGTCACAATCTGGATGGTGTATTTGCTGTTGGGATTTCCATTCACGGTCCATATTGATCACGCGTTTGTGCAACCAATATGCAACTTGCTGCAATATATCTGCTCAAGAATAGGTCCACCGAAATAAAAAAATCCGTTTAAAATGCGAATATTATACTTCCAAGTAGTCCTACATACTTCATAATTGGACAGACTGCACCTCGCATGGGTCAAATACGCGGATATGACGTCATAAAAGCCAAAAATTTCACGCGCCTTTGGCGCGCTAATCAAACCCCTGGAGGCCGTGTTGGATACAATTGCAATTTGGCCGCCAATAGCAAAAAGGTTGTACACTGCCCTGATCTAATTATATTATACTTTAACTGTTACCAGTAGTATTTAATAATTGATATAATCTGAACTACAATTCGGCATTTACTTTGGTGAATGAAAACGTTTAGCCCACCTCTTCATGCACTCAACTTTGGTTGGGCAATTTGGCATTTGACTCCGATTATAATCAGCTTGGCAAAATCATTTTTTTTACTGCTCACTCATGTTTGGGAATTTTTATTAAAATGGTGTGGCAAACAATTCTTATTATTTTTTACATTTCATCTATTATTCTAATTTCTTATTTATGTGTTTCGTTTTATTTTTTTTTTGTTATCATATAATTAATCTAAAGCTTCTCTCTTTTTTCTAATTTTATTAATGCCCTATGGTTGTGTGTGTGTGCGAGTGTGAATGATTTGATTTAATAGTTTTAGGTGAGTGAACACGTAGGCCACTTCTTTTTGGCAATACTTTCCACCTTATATTCTGTACGTTATAAATCTTATCCAAGGTTTTGTTTACTCTCCTGATTTCATAATCATTTTTTTAAATTTGTTTTTATCAACCATTTTATCGCTTTTTTGCTGATTATGCAGTCGAAATAAACGTATCTTATGCTTTGTCCCCGGGCTATGGCCTGCGACGCGAACAACAACTCAGAATTGTTCGGACCAACTCGTTTTGTCCTAATTAAAAGAATCTGATTTAAACCCGATTATTACAACTAATAATACTATTAGCCCGAACTCAATCAACTTGATATGATTGTCCCTACACGCTCGCCACCGCACCTCTGATTAGTATGCGTGGTTTCGAATCCCATGCGAGTGTGATTATGCGCGAGAGGATTGCTGGACTCGCCGTAGGATGGTTCACGTAACCGCTGGTCGGTTACCGCTTCCTCCACCACCGAGTCCATGCTTCCGAAAACAAATAACCGGCTAACTAATCCCATACCCGATATAGACTGATAACCAGACAAGAGGCTGTGGTTCGCCATAAGTTTAAACGGTCTCATCAACTTCCCCTTCCTCAAGGTATTACGCTTTTTTTAGAAACTCTCAATGGTGAAAACTCCTCACTATCTGGAAATGACTCGTGATAATCACTGGAAGAACAATCACTCATGAAAAAAAACTTTATATCTGAAAACAAGGCCGAGCCTATAATATTACTATACCACAAAATTAACAACAAAATGGTAAACCGAAAATAATTTTTTTGGAATAAACACAAACACTAATGATTTATTCTACATTGAAAGGCAAATAAATATTACGCTAATGTTGAATGCAAATTTGCTGCATTTTGTCGCAAAATATCCCCATCAATGGTATAACTCTCAATGCAAGTTTTTAAATCATCTTTGCTAAGTAAATACACGTCAACATATGTTCTAGCTCGTACAGAAAATGAAACACAAGTCTGTAAAACAAAATATTGATCAAGTATTAACGAAAGGACTGAGGCGTTGAAATCATAAGGATCAATTACCAGAATACATCTATAACTTACTGCTCTAAGCACACATTCTGATAAGAAAGTTTCTCCGTCCATCATCAAACGTATGGGAATGTTTTTTCCTTTCTCATCACGTTTGAATATTTCGGCCACTCCACGATGTATAACAAGCATGTCGCTTCGAACATCATCCTGTGAACGAAAACAGAGGTAAAACTTAGCTCATCACATTAATACTATTAAGTACTTTTGGACTATATCAAAAACAACCACTGCTTAATATGGAAAACATAAATGCGCTCGCCATACAACATGAACATATACCTGGAGGCAAATATAGTCGCTTGGCATGTACGAGACAGATCGCATCAACGAACAAACATGGCGAATGAAATTTATCGAACATCCATTGAACAATTCATTCCGTTCTACATCACTTCCAACTAATTGATACATGATGTCTGCTTTCAGGCTGTTTTAAACATAAAAACAGTAGACAAAATCTTGTATAGATAGGAAATAGGAAATCATAAAATAAAAATCTCGCTGAAGTACTTTTATGACATATGGTGTGCTACGTACATTGCATTAATTTACGAATACATTAAGATCAAACCTGTAGCACAAATCGTTGAAAAGTTCAGAAAATTTTGCTCCCTGATTTTTCATCCAAATATAATCATAATATTGTTCAATATGATCGAATATAGTTTTATCAAATTTCATGTCCGTCATATATGTTTTAACAGCCTGTGAACAATATGGATTAAGGCAGTTTGATTTGATTGAAATTAGACGAAAGTAAATAAAAATGTTAATTCATATTTTTTTCCAATAATATGACATGAATGCAACAAAAGATATCTTTTTGAGATCTCGGAACTCACATTGACTTGTTCTTCATACCATACTTTTCTTGCATCGTCATTGGCTAAAGTAGCAGCAAGCATACTCAATATGTAACCGATCAGTACTTTCCCAGCAACCATAACACACATTGCAAATGCAATTTCAGTGGCAGTTTTAGGCCTGATGTCTCCATAACCAGTTGATGTCATCGTAGCAACAGTCCAATAGCATCCATCGACCCATGGTAACAGCTCTTCACCTCTAACGCCTTTATTCTTATAGTCTATTTAAAAAAATGTACCAAATTGAATACTCCGTAATCATAGCAAAACATGGACGTTAGTATAGTAAAAGAAAGTTATATACTTATCATATGTTGAACAATGATATTTAATATTGAATTTTATTCTGAATAGCTTTAATAGTAAAACCCTCCTATTCATTTTATTAATTAAATTGATGAAATCTATAAAAAGGTCAAGTTTATGGATACCAGAATTTCGAATCAAATCAATAGACAATGGTCAATGAGTTTATTTCGTCATACAAGAAATCACAAATAATTCATATTCAGAGACGAAGTATTATACATTAGAATACCATATTTAATTGCAATTGACAGGGAGTCAAAGGACCAGAACCGGTCATCATGAGTCTGCGACACCAGGATATATAACGAGTCAAAAATAGGAATAGAAAAAAAAAATTGACACAAAGAGAAAATGGAGTCTATCAAAAAAATTTAAGTATATATTGTGAGTAAATGATGAGTAACGCGACAACTCTTAATTGTCACGGCGCATCTCATCTATCTGGCTCACCAGTCGATATATAGTTGTGTAAACTTGTGGACGTTTGTTTATGATCGCTGTTTAAGTTAATTTTTTTGAGCTTGTAGGTGATACCGATGGCTCTCTAGTTATTTTTTTCCCCACATGCTCGATATGTGCGTCCCATTTTAGACCAGAATCAATAAATATTAAAAGGTATTTATTGACAATTCACAGTTTATCTGATGCTTTTGGGAAGTAGTTATCAATCATTTAATCGTATACATTCCTCTCTAAAGTTTGAATTGATTTATGATTTGAAAGGAGATCTGTGTGATTAGGAAATAATTTTGTTAATAGGTTGGAGCATGGGTTGAGATCATCAATATATGCTAGCCTAATATTGGGGCTAAACAGGATCCCTGCGGGACGCCGCAAACTATTGGTAAAGTTTTTGATGTCACGTCGCCAATTTTACCAAATTAAACTCGGTTTGTTAGGTAGCTTTTAAGTGATTGGTCTAGTGCTAGTCCACGAAATCCATAGTTTAGACAGTTTATAAAGTAAGATTATGTGGTCAACAATATCGGATGCTTTTTTTACGTCAATGAAAACGGGAAAAACGAATCTCATTATGCTCTAATCTGTCATAGATTAATGTCAAAAATAGCATGGTTTGTTGAATGGTTGTCCCTAAATCCAAATTGTGGCTATTACTTTTACAATTGCTAGAAGGCTATTACTTTTATTTATTTCTAAATTTCGTGTGAAATCTGATATTTCGTCCTAAATTTCGCTGTATTGATTTATCCACGGGACACTGGTTGTCCGGTTTGATTCTATAAATTCCCGCTAGAAAGCGATTTATTGCCACAATACAAAGTCAACACTATTATAGTAATAATACAATAATGAAAATATTTCAGCAGTGATTGATTATTGCTTTGTGCGGGTCGATGTGCAAGACCGATTAAAGTCATCTAGGCTGCCGACCCTTGTGTATCTGCTGTATATAAGCTCAACATGGCATAAATAGTAGGTACCGTACCATAGCGGGATGCAAATGAGATTATAATATATAAACTTTAAATAAGATGAAGAAATGAGTGAATGAGTCGACAATTTGATGGTATTATGAAAGTTATCATAACTCTGGGATTTTTTGAGGGTACCGGTAGCATCAAAGGTAAGGACTGCCTTGCTCTAGGTAACGTGTCCATATATTTGAGCATTGCTATCTTGTTTTATGTATGATGTCGGTGTATATATGATCAATTAATGTGCAAGATGAGTTCGAAACCCTGGTAGGTCTCGTGATGTGTGCCGTGAAATACGAAGATATCATATTCATGTATTCAGATAAGGATTTGTTCGAGGAACTTTTAAAAGATTTAGATTGAAATTCCCAAGCAGGATGAACGGTTTCGGGGTCGAATCCCCCCCCCCCACCTTTTGAAATTTCTGAAAAGTGAAAAAGTTGCAATTGCCTTCTGCTAAAATCGCTGTTCGTTTTCATCAACGCGGCATGTTATTTATGTCGTGAACGCCCTTTATATTGGTGTTTATTCTCTTTAAATCACAAATTTGTGCCGCGGGAACAATGATAATTATTTTATTTTTGTACCCGCACGGAAATGTGAAAACTGAAAAAGCGTGCAATCGCCTTCTGCTAAAATCGCCCATGTTTTCACCAGCGTGTTATTTAGGCCGTAAACGCCCTTACGTCGGTTTTTATTCTTTCTAAATCATAAATTTGTGCCACGATAGACATGATAATTATTTTATTTTTGTACTTTGCACGGAATTGTGAATTCGTGAGTTATTATACGTTCATCGGTGGCGAGGTTCTGAAGACAAAAGAAGGAGTAAAACCGCGATCTAAATTTGATTGAAAAGCGTTATTATAAAATACTGAAAATAAAACCGTAAACAATATAAGTTTTGTTTTGAGTCCCGCGACAGTCTAAAAACGCTTTTCTAGTCGCAAAATTTCGTGTGCCTACGGCGCACATTATGTTTGGTCGCCGTTTAGGAACATACCGTCACTAAAATCGAAACACGGTTAATTGTGGGTGGGATTTGCCTATTATCCATTACTTTAAAATTGTCGTAGAAAATTTTCGTGTTATTATTAAACAAGGTTGAAATTTTTTCCCGGTTTGTGATGATATATAAGATAATTAATCCGAAGTATATCCATCAATTTTTATTGTACTGAAATAAATTTTACTTCATGAGAATTTACAGCAGATTTACGGATTTTTCAGGAGGTTTTATCTTTAAAAATAATCGGAGTGTCAGCATTGCGATTGAACGGAGTCAATGTTACAAGCACATCTCAAATTTGTCGAATTTGCAAAATAGAAAAAATACGGATCAAAACAATATATGATAGACGACGGGCAGTTACCACAAATTTTTATTTTTATGTCGGCAAATGTGCCGAGGTATTTTAAAATTGTGAATTGTAAAAAATTGTTTTGTTTTGTCGACGCAAACGCTGGTTAAATTGAAGACAATAAAATTAATAAAGCAAGACATTTTAAATATGCCCTTATCGGTCACGAATTGATTACTTTGCACAATAGAAAAATCATTTTTCGTCGTAAACGTCGGCTCTTTTAACAAGTGGCGTAATCGCGGCGATGAATATGTATTTTTGATTTAACGATATACTTCATATGCATTTTCATTGTACGAAATAAAATTGTACTTTTCGGGATTTTATATCAGTTATTGACATTTTTCCAACGGCGATAACGAGTTGGCAAGATTCCAAAAATACCTATTAAAATTAAATACACCGTTCATCTCATATTTTTATGTCCACCGATCGCCGTGGCATTTCAGAGAACTAATGTTTTAATTTTGACGTAAGAAGAAGCAACTGCGAGTTACGTCGGACACGATTAAACTAATATATAAAGACATTTTAGAATTTTGCAGTTGTCAGAGATTGAATATTTCACGCGACAAGAATAATCATTATACGCTGAAAAGACCTCCCTTTAATTAGCGCGTAATGCGAAGACTGTTACAAACCGCAATGGAAATTTATGATTATGAACCCCCCCCCCCCCCCCTTTTGAAAATGCATGCCTGCCCCTCCAGCATTTGTATTAAAAGGTTGGTGAATGAAATTGTTTTCCTGAATGTTAATTTGTGGATTCTCACCGATTCCGATAATATTAAGTGGGTGTTTGAATTACGACGGGAGATTTACTAAATCATCAATATTTTTCTGGATTTACCGAATATTTAGATTTTAGATGAGAGAAAGACTGGATTTAGAGGGCATTTCATCTATTTCAATAGTCATGAAAAGTTTGTCATAGAGTCAAAATTTGGATCATCTTCTAGACATCGTTGTTGAGAGCCAATTGAATTGGAAAATATAGCTTTATTTACATGTTGTATGGACAATTGAGTGGGGCGCAATATCAGTGGTTGCAAAATTCATATAAAAGGTTTCAAACAGAGGACAAACTAAAAATAAGATTCATTTACTTTACAAGATATATGACATTGGTTACTTAACGAAAGCATTACAGTCAGAATTTTCAATGAAGAATTATTCATGTTCCTACATCCTTGATGAGTATTGGTCTGAATGTGTCATTCTTCTTGACCATGTCACCTTCCTCTTGCTTGATAAACAATAGATGTCTTGTGTAAACTGATAAATTTTCTACTACGAACATGTTGGTAGGGTATCCAGAGTCTTCAGGAATAAGTTTCAAGTTTCTTTTATTTTTAGTATTTGGCTAATAATTTTTCTGTTAAAAAATTTGATAATTATAGCAGGAGGTCTTTGAGTCTTTACATCGGCCAATGTTGATTGGTTTCTATTTCTGGCGTTGAAACTGTATAAATTGACTATATCTGTTAATTAATGTCGATTTGAATAGAAGAGGTTGTTGAGACTGGAACTCCATGAAATTCCAGGTTGTAGAGCCTGAAGTGCCTTTATTGCTTGTGTTGGTGTTCGGCATAATACTGCAAGTAATCCTCAAGTCAATAGATACGCTCTTCGAAAATTTTTGATTAGAGGATGTAGTATCTTTCAGTATTTTGCAAAATCCAGTCGAATTTGTTTGATTGGTAATCCTGAATCTTTTTTATCTCAGATATGTCATTCTGTATTTCAAACCAAGATTCAATATTTCTACGATTTTTGTGGAGATACCTTTGAAAGATCAAATCTATCATTCAGGAATCGTTCTATCATAGTAGGCAGCTGCACTTTCATTGAATTAAATATGGAAGAATGGAACACTGGCAGAAATGAGCTTGAATCGATTAACCCTTTGCCTGTCGATGATGATGACCCTGGCATGCTTGAAATCGCCTCTGATTTTGAGAGTTCCATTGGACTGTTTTTTTTTATTTGATGATTGCTTTTTTTCATAGTTTCGTTTTTATTTCCACTCATGGTGTTAATAAATCAAGATGTATTAAATTTTATATTTAATACTAGGTCAACTCTAGTTTTAAATCTTAATCAAACAACAATAACCAACATCAATTGTGAGCAAATTCAGAAAAAATAGCTTGATTTGATCCAAAAATGTAATAATTTGGATAACACGAGGCGGTCGTGTGACGCAGCAGCGCTGTGTTTACATTGACTAAAATCCCTGACATATTAGGTAATTGATACATTCAATGTGCTTTATCAATAACTTTATTCATTCTTCAAGTTCAATGTTATTATTTAATCACAACTTATACTAAAGTTCTCCCAAATTTAAAGAAAGTTATCAATATAAAATGTTTAACTAAATTGAATCTGAAAAATTTATGTCGTAACATTCTGATACGAAAATTTGATTCAAAAAAAAAATATTCAAAACTTACATCCTTGGTGAACACTTACCAGTCAAAGGCATTGTTGTCCAACTCAATTCAACACAACTTCCACCAGGACAAGCAACGAAGTAGAAGACAGAAGAAAAAAAATTGATGATATAGAAAAGCACAAGAACAAGTTTGTACATTCTGACTAACAATGTGCTGAAAAAGGTTACATTTCTCTATTGTCTGCAGAAACAAATTGCAAAGAAAAATACAGCAAAGATATAAATGATATACTCTTTCTGTAGATCTCGTTCCCACATAGCCAATATAGTGAAAAATTTCCTCATCCTAAGAACTCTATTCAATCGTAGATAAGACAAAATCGTCAACTTTCTTGTGTAGGTCTAAGATATATAAAATTTGAATGTAACATTTCAACAAGATGAAAGACAAAATCTAGGAGACATGAAACAAAAGTGTTTAATAAAGATTCACACTGACCTCACTCATTGTTTCACCAATTGGAACAAAATGCATGAAAACTTCAAAAGGAAAGTTTGTAACACAATCAATAAAAAATCTCCTCCAATCCTTCCCATAATGTGCATGAATCCTTTCCAAGGTTTCAACAATGTCTCCCATTTTGTCAAAGTAACTTGTGTGGAAACATATCACCATGTCAATTGCAAACCTGTAAATAATAAAAACATAAGAATATTGAGACAAAAGTTTTCAAATAAAAATGAAAGAATTCGTGCACCTAGATCCCAAATGAAGATGAAAATTTAACCCAAAATGACTATTGAGTCCAAATATTCAAATAAACTTACCATACATCCATGAGAAATATAGAAGTATCAATTCCAGAATCGTGGGTAAGGAAGCATGCTTGATAGACAGCCAATGAGGATGAAAGAAAGGCCAAGATAACTGTGCCATGATCCCATATTTGTGCAAATGTTGAGTTACGATCTATTATCTGTAGCAAAATATATTCTGTTGAAAAATTGCAGTTTTCTATTAAAAATTTGAATACACAATAAAAATTATTTTGAACCAAAAATAGTAATATTCAAGGTTTATAAGGACACGTTTCGGTTGCTTCACTTTTCACTCGCTACACTTTTCTTGACTACTTCATGTTTTTATGTTTGCAAATTTGGATAATTATCATTTAGAATACAGACATATATAATTTCAATCTTTTCAAGTTATGAAATGAGAATGACATCTCAATTTCAAAAGGGGCAACACTCAATGAATCTTTCCACTGTTATTCGTCTTGCTATACTGAAACAAGATGGATTATTAACACCCACCAAAGTTCTGTATTCAATTGAAAAAAATAGGTAATTTAACCTTAGAGAAGAAGAACTTATCTTGACCATCATTCCTGTTACCCTTTTCATCATAAACATTCGCATTGGAGAATTGGTCAGTCATGCTCTTGCGTCTGACATAGCTAGTTGAGGTTGTTCCTTTGAGTCTGCGATCCTTAGTATTGATACATTTGTGATAAGACCATAAATTAGTGCAGAATAATACAACAGAATTTCGGAAAGTGTATGATCATCAATAATACCAAAAACATATGTATGAAACAAAATAAACCCAAAGCCACTTCCCAGTTTTCGAGTTATCTATTTAGTTTGAATCAGTATGCATGTTGCATTGCATTATACACACAGAAGTTAAAAACAATACTACTACACTTACAAGGGCAATGTTGGTCATGATTTCCCTGAATTGAGGGTGTCTATCAAGAATATTATTCAAATCCTGCTTGTTGATAACACTCAAATCACAATTAGTCATAGCGACAACTGTTGCAGTACGAGGAATTGAAGAGAATAAAGCAATCTGGAAAAAAATAAATGTATGGTTTCAAGTGGTGCCATAATACAGCAATGCATACAATAAAATAGTTTTTCCTTAATACAGATTATAACTGAGGATTCTCAGAAAGTTCAAAGAAATTCCATTTTACTCAAATTCTTACTTGCGATACAACATACTTTAAGGTATATTTACAATATAACCTTTACTAAACGCCGAGCTCTGAAAAAACGCAAAAATAACTTTTTTTGTTGGAATTTCCCGATGCATTAGAAGCATGGCAAAGCCAGCCATTGACTCTCCGAATCCACGCTAGTCGAATTCAGAGATCTCATAACAAGCAGAATTTGGTGATCATTGGTCATCAATCTGCTTTCGCTTGAAATTTCTAAAATAATTTTCATATGCGTTATCTTATATGGGGTGTAAAAGCATTGAGCATTAGACAGCACCCTATTGTGTAGGAATCTTTTGATAGCAGAATAACTGACAATCGATGCGTAATGCCAAGTATGTTGTTTAGTATACATAAATAGCAAATAAAATCTGCATTCATCATCCTGTATCTAAATTCATCTAACAGCAGCGACTCTGTCTCTGCATTCTTCTATCTGGCCCAAAGAGTGGACGATGGCAGAATATAATGATTGACTCATGTTTTTCCACCCATTTGGTTTCACAAAGTGTTATCAAACGTGTATGTCGACTTTGTGGAAGGAGTGCTATGACAGCATTCTTGAAAATTCCTGTGCTGTTAATAACTGCCCGTACTCCACAAGAAGAGCCTTGCATGTTGGCGGCACCGTCATATCCCTGCACTACGATGTTACGCAGCTCAGAGCCCCAGCATGTACGATAAGTGCCGACATAGTAATTTTGCAAGGGCTTGGCCAACAAGTAGACATGTTCGACGAATCCAAGAAATCCTCTCGAAGGGTGCCCAGACATTGTGATTTTTACACGACGATATATATCTTGCTTAAAAATATTCTCAACTGCCAAAGTTTGACAAATCGCAAAAATACGACTCCAATTTATTTATAGTTGGCAGTTTATCACATATTTTATGTTATTTTAGACTAGTATTCTTTAATTTTAGTAATCCTAATAGTAATCTCGAATCAAACGTGAGTAACGCTGAGCACAATTACATTATATCGACGAGACACGTTAAATGCTCGCATGGGTCATGGATTGAATATTTTATGCAAAAGAAATCTCGTTATTCGTTTTTGTAATCCCGAAGAATGTTGCGCGGAAATTTCCGATTCCAATTTTGAACCACCTCACTCTTAAGAATTCTGGCTGCGCTCCTGCTTATAAATAATGTCATTTTTTAATTCCGCCTCTTTGCCATATTTCGAGGCTATATTGTTGTCAGATTTTATCAAAGCTGTTATTGCTTCTTTGAACAGTTACAAAATTAGCCAAGTCAGTATTGAAATCGATTGACAAAACTCCATGGTCTATGTGACCTCTTGAGGCTATACTTTAATGCCCACAGAACACTTATTCTTGATGCGAGTGCCCTTCTGTTCCCATCAGATTGCTGAGCTCTTGCAGAGGTCATTTGACCAACAACATTTCTGGTAGTGTAAGTTTTGAGGAAATTTCGGCATGTAATTGTGCTGTGATATGGGTTTGGCCTTAAGTGCATTTAACAAGTTTTGCAAAGGCTCGTTGATAAGCTTCTGCAATTTTGACCCTATGCCATCTTCGTTTGGGCTGCATGCCAGCCATTTGAATTTCTTCAGCCACGCTCGCTGGAGGGGAAGATGGAAGTCTTTGCTTGGGACCCAACGGTTAGTCAAATAATCGTATTTCATTTGATTATCAACATTTGATTCACGCATGAAATTACCAATATTCAGAGGAAATTTAAACTTTTTCACTCTCGATTCGGATTCTGTTGTTGAAGGGCGATCCATTTCTTTAGACTTCACTCGTCTGTGGATTTCGAAATATTATGAAAGGAGGGATCCTGTTCTTGGTCATCGCTGCCCCCTGATCTTGTAAAATATGAAGCTATATTTCTCTGTTTGTTACTCATTTTAGAAAAGCACTGCTGCTTGCTACGCTGTTTCTAACGACAATCTTATTGATATCAATCTCGTAATGGGGAAACGCCGCTTGTTGTCTAAAGTAGAAGCCACATGATTGTGACCAAATAAGGTAATTCATTCAGTCCACAATATTTATTTTAGCACTTGTTCGTGGCGAATCCTGACATATTCAGTTTCGATTTCTAAAAACAATCTTCTGTACCACATACAGTATGGCAATTTTTCGTAGGCTCGGATAGCTTTTTAGAACATCAATTCTCTTGAAAACTCGTTACAACCTAGCTGTTACAGTCTAACTTGGCAATAGCAAATTTCGGAACCCTTCCCTTCAAAAATTCCTGGCTACGCCACTGATAAAAACCACACCACTTTTTGATAGTACAACCCATAAACCGTCCATATGGAAAAATATAATTCAGTGAACACAATATCTATAAACTATAGTTCTATATACTACACACAGATCATGAGTGATATAATCCCAGGCTGTTTATCATAATGTTCATGGTTATAGGATGTTTAGCTAATAATTGATATTATGTAGACCAGTGGTTCTCAAACTTCTTTGTCATGTGACGCCTTCCAAAAAAGATGCTCAAGTTGCGACCCTCCATAAAAAACGTCGTAATACCTTTCAATAAAAGACCTTTTTGCAATGAGTTTATTTAAACGAACAAACGAAACTTGACAAAAGTCAGTGAAACAGCAGGAAATATATATGAAATCGCAAAAGGGATGACAGTGAGCAACGCTCTTTTTACCAAAGAAAGATCATCTTTATCCAAGGAAATTCAGAAACTCATTACATTTTCGGAATTCACTTTCTTTTTATATCGATTCCGTTCAACAGAATGGCGAAAAAAGCCGCAGTGTGTTGTTTGTAGCATGATTTTGCCCAAAGCGAGTTACCTAAAGGGCTAAGCGGAATTAAGCAGCATCGCACCTCCTGTTGCAACAAAAACCAAGGCACTTTTCCACCCCAAACTTGAATAATCCAAAGTCCAAGTAGCTTTCATTATACTTGCGAATTTTCTTTATAGACTTTTCTTGTTCAGTATCATTTTTACGCATGTAAATTTCTACAGTGCAATTTCATATTTGTACTTTTTCTACGCACCGCAAAATAGGTACAATTCCGCAAATGTGGAAAAGTTTTGCGACGCCCTAGCAAAATTGAAACAACACCCACCTCGAGAACCGCGGATGTAGACTATCTACAAAATTTTCAGAATGTGTTACCGCAAGTATTAAATTCTCACCTCTCCAAAATATTGTCCTGGTCCAAGCACACGTTTCACTGTTACATCATCTTCTTCAAGTATGGCAACATTACCTCGCTGAAGAAAATACATATCTTCTCCAACACTATTCAGACTGGAAATGCAAAATATAACTGAAGATATGGATATTGCTCAACATAATCTCAAATGTTTTGTTTACAAATTTACCATAATGATGAAAATTTGAGCAAAATTTTTACATAATTCATTTTTCTTTATCGAACCAAATTAACTAATATTATAGAACATGGATAATTTTTCACGAAACATGTCTTTAGCACCATTTAACTTTTTTTACAATATAGAAACAATACAGCACCTGAATATGATAGTTTTTGCCAGAAAGATTTGTGGATGGATGTACATAGACAGAAGATTGAAAAATCGATTCATATCCTTTTCTGATATATTTGAGCTATTTATTGAAAAAAAAAGTTGTTTAATATTTGTATAGTAATGAAAGGTTGGAAGAGGTAGCTGAATACTATGCAGCTAACTAGACCCAGAAACAAAGGCGAGATTACCTTTTTGATAGATGTATATATGAGCTAAACATGATAAACAAATAACAATGTCATAACTATCGTGATCGATCTGCCTAAAAATCAAAATTTCTTTGAGTGACACGATTAAACTTCATTTTAGTTACCGGTAATTCATAAATATTACTTCCTCACTTTTCAATAGTGTCTGAAGTCTGGAAAGATTCTCGAATCATTTCATCATACATACAATGGCACAGGCGAGCTCTGATGTTTGGAGGGAGGCCTCGGAATAAATCATTTGGGGTAATACCTCCTGTTCTATTCCAAAGGTATGAGTAGAAGTCAATAACCTAAAGTAAAACTTGAATTGAATACCAGTAATATCCAATACAAGTCATAGATAAAAAAAATTACGATGAGATTTTCAGATGACTAAAATACTGAAAACATATTCCATTTCGAACCTGCTTTGTTGTCTCTTTTGAAACATGATTCAGCTTGAAAAATTTTCTAATGTCCATCATTCGCTTTTTGAAAACAGCTCTAGTTGTATCATCCATTTGAATGGTGGCAGCAATATCTCCCAGTATAAGAGCATAGTAAATGATTCCTAAGTACATCAGTATAGCGCAAAATAATTTCTCGATCTGAAAAAGATAAATAAGATTTACCACCTCACCTAGTCACTTCATTAAGCTCACAAACAGATATACACAGATTTAACCGAATACACATAACATTGGCTATTGGTATGAAGCAGTGAAGCTTGGGCAGGACATTATAGAACAAACACTATAGATATCCAATTTGTCACAAATATGATACTCGAGTCATATACTTGTGATGTATCAAGCATTACAAAGACCAAAAAATCCCAGGTTTTAAAATATATCGAACTAAAGAATGAGTTATTTTTTGTTTGAAAAGATGGTTTCAGGGACCACAATCATGCCTGTTATTAATCTTGGGTCTATTCTAGAGCTCGACCGATATCACTTTTTGGCACCGATATATCGGCTAACTAGTGGCCGATAACCGATATTAATATAAATTAATTTTGTGAGCCACAAATGGGCTTTAATGATGTACCTTGTGCGTCTGTAGCTTCATTTGATATATATTATCATTGCAGTAAGACTTTTATTTAACTACCGTAACTCCAGTTAATGCTTGAACAAATGTTATTCTGTAACTTTTCCTGCGACTTCAATATCAGTCTAGCCTTTTCCAGAAGAAAGAATTGTTAATCTGACGTTTTTAAATATAACTATGGGCATATGTTAAGGGAAATGGAAAATTATAAATTGATATATATATTTCAAAGTGAATCATTATAATGATGAAATCCTTTGATATTGTGATAACGTATGAGCAGTTACATGTAAAATACTGCTGATGTTTTAAATAACTATGTTTTCAGAGACTCTCAATACCTTATTTCCATTATAATGGATTAAGGTTTTTTTTTGTGTAATTCTCAGCAAACCATCATTAAAGATAAAACTGTTACCCGAGAAATGCAAAATCAAATTTGGGAAGGTCACAAATTCGGAAATATTGGTACTTTGATGACATTCCTTTTTTAAGCTAAATATACCTTTTTTTCGTGATAACTCATCAGCTTGAAATCGATTCCATTTATTGAACTACCATTTACAGTTGATACTAAATTTGCCTTTTTCTCATTGTGTACTCTCTCAAAAATGTAACTTCCGATAATAACTTTTAAGTTATGACCATGCATGGAATGAATGATGAATCATATGCTACCGGGGAAATAGGATATTGCTACACAACGCAAAATGAAAGGGAGATAAATATTGTGAAACCAGTTATACAGTCGAGTATTGCCGATATGATATATGGGCAAAGACGCAATATTGGCCCGATATATCGGTCAAGCTCTAGTCTATTCATTCAAACTCTATACATGATGAATGAATTACCAATTGTCTGAGTAGTTCCCTGTTAGATAATACTGTCAGAGAACAGACCTGACCAAAATCATATAAAGTAATATAAATGCAATATCATGTGAAGCAAAACATATCAGTTTTTATGGAAATCAAAATAACATGACTTGTATCTGGCCAATTGTACAGAAAAGGTTTCCCCCACCCTTGGTATCCAGAATAATAATCTATCAACTTATTTCTGGTTCAAAAGAGAAATTAATATCAAAATCCTCTTCTATTTCTAAAAAAATTTGACATAGAATGTGCCAACTTTTCTGCAATAATGGAAATGTTTGTCTTTAAACAGGAGTTTGAGCAGAATAAATTGTAGTCAATGACTTCAAGAACCATTCTAAAACAATTGCGTAAAATACAGAGTGTCCATAAAGTCCCTTTACAATTTCAATTAAATGAAGTAAAAATACTTGAAAATTACTGATTAAAAAAAACCTGGTCAATATATATTAGGAACTGACTTAATACATCTATGAAGGTCAAAAAATATATGGTATCAATAAATTCCTTTTGCAATTCTAAAAAAATTCAAAACTGTAAGAACACCCTATATCAGGGTTTTCCAAACTTTTTGGGTCACGGACCACCGTTTGTGAATCTTATTTTGTACGGACCCCAATCCTATGACGTATCAATTTATGTGCCTAACCAAAAAGATAGGATGTATTTTTTGACGAAATAAAACTCATGAATGTCTGAATCAATACATACTAATGTTGAATACTGGCAGGCTAATGGCAATTCGATGAGATTATGATCTATTTGTATATGTTTGAGACTCTTCCCATATCGTTGCAGTCATCATGAACCCCAGTTTTGTGAAACCCTGCCCTATATTATTCCTTCAAAAAATCAATGTCTCAATGCCAAAACAACAGGTATAACATACACTGGCTGCAGCAACAACATCTCCATATCCTACAGACACAAGTGTGGCTGTGACATAGTATAAACTGAGTAGATATCGATGAAAGGTACTGTTCACCAAGTCTAGTGCAGGGAACACATCATCTATGATAGCTTTTCCAATCCACGATGCTTTTGGAACAGAGAATGGTCCAGCTGCACCAGTCAGAGTTATGTAATCAGTGTTGTTACTGTTGTCAACCTGACAAAATAAATTAGATCTCCCTTAACAATAGAAAATACAACGAATTATACAAATATCAAGTCTTGCGACCAGTTTGTCATTTCTATTTCTACTGAACTAATATAGGACAAAACAGCTTAATTTATGCGCCAAGTTGATATTACAAACCCTAATTTGTGGTAAAACATTTAACTGTTATACAGCATTCAAATAATGAACAATAACTTCACACTTTGTAAAGACCTGAGCTCTGGTTATTTCAATGTGAATGAAAAGATCTTTGCATTCAATATATTTTGGCACTTCCCTTCTGTTTTTTTACTCCCCAAAAAATACCTCGGCTCATTCTGTTCTCAACAACTTCTTAAATTTTTTGTATAGGACGCAAGGTAAGTAAAACAAGGTGATTTAGGCCTAAGTTGCACTGAACAAATTCTTAGAGATGTAGGTTTCGGACATTTTATTTCTTATGTTCATGCCCATCATATTGGAACTTAGGCCTATTCTGTTCTTGAATTCTACAAAATATTAAGGTCCTAAATCCAGCTAAATTTTTTTTTACTGAAAAATTCAGGATTTCAAGACCACCATCTTGTAGAACACGACTCAAAACCCCAAAATATTGAAAAAAGTGAATTTCCCAAAAATGTGACTTAAACCCTATCTGTTCTCATCCGGCGATATACTGATTGACGAAGAATGCCTTTGTGGCCTAAAAATATATCACAGAATATATTTCCAACTGACAAAATCTTCAATTCTGAATCAGAGAAAGAAATAGATTTAAAAAATGTCTATTGTGATCCAACGAGAGAAAGAATGCATTTATTTTCAACATATTGGTAATAATTTAGTAATATTTGGCGACTTAGAATTATAGAAGTACTATATTCATTTATTAGATCCAAACTCGAGATGCTAACAAATCTAAGTAATACATGTCACAACACATTGCAAATTAACATCATTAACATTAAATTACGACAAAAAAGCTAAGCTGCTGCCCAAAAGGTAATTTTTTTTATTGAGAGTGATTTAGTAGCAAGTACAAACCCATTTTATCTGTGGTTGAGCCATCGTCATGTACATGACACACGCAACAGAGTTGTGCATTAGTATCGTATATAAAACTCTAGTACACTGTTTTAGGAATCTTCTTTTCCAACGAACATCACTTTGCCAATAGTTGAAGTAATTTATAAGCTAGAAAATGTTGACATAAATCTCTTACACAAACAATAATTACATAATACTAATATGAAGTATTTTTCATCTTTTTCATGGAATGATTTATTCATATGCTCGACACATTCTGTATGAAACAATATGTGTAAATTGTAAACAGTTTTACTTTATAACCTGTTTTTTCACGTCACTTTAATTTCCAAAATTATAATGCATGATGAATTTTTGGTCTGTTCGCTATAATTAAACAAAAAATATCTTAATTAAATAATACCAGGAAGGTAATACGATTTTAATGAATACAAAAGAATAATATGTAGCCTACACAGTACACAATTTAGGGCTGTCCAAAATCTTTTCTTAAAACAAATATTATTGTGCAACACTAATTCTGTCTGCATCGTACAATAAAAACCTTTGGTATTGTGATAACCCATGTGCAACTGCGTTACATCTACAATACTGCTGATATTTTGCATAACTATGTTTCCAGAGTCCATAAGAGGAGATCACATGCCTACATGAACTGGTCAAAAAATCAGAGGTCTCCAAAATTAGGGCTTTAAGTGTTGAGAGATGAATGCACATACTGTCAATACCTTTGCTCAATTCTAATGGATTCAGTTTTAATACGACATGCGAAGCTTGTAGGGTTTTTAATCCTATTATCATTAGTCTTCTTGAGATTTTCTTGGATGATTTTCAGCAAAATGATAAACAACCATTAATATAAATAAAACTCTTTCCCAAGAAATTCAACATTGCATTTAGAGAGGTCACGAATTCAGAAATTATTATATGATGACTGTATAGGTACTTTACAACAGTTATCAAAATGCAAAGAGTGTAATGAATGATAATGGATAGATAATACAAAGTCTGTTAAAACAAGGTACTGCAATCATAACAACCCACCAATCAAGTTCAGCTCTGAGTTACATGTACCATGTTCCTTCCTGTGATTACTAACACAACAGTTTCAAATTGATTTTATTTATACAACTAGCGATTTCTGTTTTCGCTTTGTGTACTCAAAAACCTTATTTTAAATGTGACTACTAATAATAACTTTTCAGTTATGAGCAAGAAGGAAATGTCTAATCACATGCCACCGGGTATTAGGTGATTGCTGCACCTTTTTAACGCAAAAAGAAGGCGAGAGAAATATCGAGAAACCAGTTGTGCGAGGGGCGAGAGTCGTTTGAGCATGAAGAGCCGTCGAAAAGGTCCAATACATTTTCTGCTTTACATTTTCCCAAATTAGCCGGAAAATGATTCGAATAATTTGCGATTCGATTTTGAATATTCGGTTTGCTTGGACAGCCCTAGTACACATCTGCAATAGTAGAATCTCCCAATGTCATCACATATCATATCGTAAAGTATAACTTTGACTATACCCTAAAATGTTATAACATTAGACAAATCTGTACGAACCTTGTACAATTGTAGAATACGAAGTATTCGAAACATACAAATGAACCTCCATTGACCAAGAGTCCATGGTGTTGGTAATGCAGCCATTACGATCAAATCAAAAGGAAACCAGGAAATGAAATCAACAAAGAAACTAGTCTTGAAATAATGACCAGCTGTATATAATGGATGGCACACCAGAACCTTGCGATCGTTGTAATACATTGTATGGAGCTTAATGTATTGGTCCACCATAGTCAATCCATCAAGGAAGTACTGCAATACCAATAGCGCTGGTATGTTGGGCATGAAAGCGGCCTGTTGAATATATAAGTTGGTATTGTAAGCAATAATCACATATCACCTGAGAAATCATTTCATATTAACAAGAATATTACCATTTCATATTAATGTGAAATTAAATGATGAGCTAACATAGCCATGGCCAAATATCAAATTTCAGTTCGGTATACAGTCACTCCACATAAATTTTCCCCCAATTGCTTGATATGAGGTATAAAAACCCATAAACAAGAAAACTCCACGCTCAGTAGATATTAATGTTTAAGCGCAGTCATACCTGGATTGGCACAATGATCAGGGTAATTATGACCAGAATCGTTCTGAATGTTTCATAATATAAGTATTGCCTGCTGCCTGGGTCAAAGGTGAAAGGCATCAAGAACAGTTTTGCCAGAGTTTTCAAAACAGGATGCACATCAACATCGTCAGTGCTGTCAGCATCTGTTATCTTATGAACTGCAGGAGATTCCACACTTTTGTCACCGTAATATGACACACCTCCATTCAGATGATGAATATTAAATCGCTTACTCATATCAACCCTTGAGTACACACAAAAATATCAAGTTATTATATTATGCGCAGTAGAAAGGCAATGCTCGTCAGAGTGCAAAACTAAGCAGTACATAGAAATGTGATCAAAAGCATACAGTAGCATAATATCTTCTAAATTGAATCAACATGATCATTAATATTACAAAAAAAAATCTATGTTTGCAAGTTTGCAAAAGGCTTAATAAAAAAATAATAGGCATAGAACCTTAGCTTGTCTGTACGCTGTTGCATATTTTGAATGATCATGTCATGGTATTCCTTGTTATCACTAATTTTGGCTATTTCAGAATTGATTGATGGGAAGGTAGCAACAATGCTAATAATATGAACTTTCTTCAAGAAAAGGATTTCCACACTAGTATCAGCAACAATTGTTCGAGCAGAGCCTTTACCATAGAAAGTCTGAACCAACAAAATGAAAGGAATTAGGTGTAGGTTATTTGGTTATATCTATTGGGAGCTGTTCCTCCTAACTCCTAAAAGTACTTTAGAATTAGAAACATTCTACATGGTTACCTTAACAATGAAAACAGAAAATACATACATTTTAAATGGTTGAGATGGGTGACTGGGAATGTTGGAAAATTATATTGATTTCAATGTATGGCATAATTATATTCAAAAACGAAACATTTAAAATACCTGCTGCTAGTCATCCCATATTCCCATTGGTCCGTTTGCTTTCTGTGGGCATGTACACTGTGTCTCACTCAGTTTTATTTGCTAGCGAAAGTCAGTGAACAACAAGTGTTTGTTTTTGTTTGTGGGTAAATGTTCATTTCTAAGTTTAGTGTGTATGTTCATTTTTGTACATTACGTTCTCAGACTCCTGTCCCCCAACTCACAGCGGTCTTCACTTATTAGCCTAGCCTAGTCGTCCAACACCAATAGTAAATAAACATAACGCTCATAGTTTTTATTCATTATTTCTCTGTTATTTTTTTTCTGTGTGTACCTCTTTTATTCATTATGCAGTATTCTAACTCTAATATGTATTTGTTACAGGTTTTACCTATTATTTATACAAATATTATGTCCACGCTTTGTGGGGGCTTAGAACAGAAAAGGGCATTTATAGGGTAAAACGTGTTCATACTATGGAATTTCTGCTTTAATTGAGAATGAGGAATTAATTTTGTAAGCTGAGTTTCTCCTGTATATAAAACATCGATTATAACAAATACATTTTTGCTATTCACTTCACATACCTCAACTTCCCCAAAATATTCTCCAGGATGCAAAACATCAAATGACTCTGTCAAATCATCGGTAACAACAGCGCAATGTCCCTGTTTAATGATGTATAATCCACCAAACACGTCACCCTGAGATAAATAATGAACAAATTATGATAAACAAACCTTTTTAAATACTCACTACTAAACCAAAGCCATGCCAACCTCATAGATAACCACCATCCCTTCTGAGTAATGATAAGCATCAATATTATTGCATAGCTTAGATATTGCAGCAGGAGGCAGGCCTTTAAACAGAGGGACACATTCAATAAAGCTTCCGAAACTTTCATACATAAGCATTTGATGAAGATTCAAGGGCAGCTTGCCATCAATAGCTGCATGCCTTCCTTCCCCAGGAGTAGCATCACCCAGGAATCTGTCCCAAAGCATATATCGGCAATCAAGTGCTCGGTTTATCAATTGAAGAGGCACCTAATGGAAAAGACAGAAATATATCTCTTGAAATGGATGTTTGGAAAAAATACCAAGAAAAATATATGGTAGTTTTAAACTGTACTTATTAGTCAAAAGTGTAACTCACAGAATGTTTTAGCAGATATCTTTTCATCATCAAAAGATTGTTGCTATAAGTGGTAACCGCTGATGCTGTACTGGATATCATTGAAGAAATGACTGCAATTATCCAACCACACATAATTGTTCCCAAAGTCATTGTCATTATAGTCACAATCATCAAAACAGCGTCAGTCGCAGGATATTCACCATACCTATGTTGAGACAGAAAAATAAAGTGGCATATTCACTCTTATAAATGATATGTTACATGTGGAAATGTGAATGCATCTACAGTTATACAAAAGAAAAAAGAACCATCGGCATGTGGTAAAGATATGTTTGTATATTAGTGATGACAAAAACATGATTCCAGCAAAAATATTCATATATTCATGTCTACTGAATTTGATACAGAAAGTTCCCAGAAAAATATTTAGGTAACTTGTAAGAATAGAATATAAAATCATTTCAATACAAAGACCCTCATATAAATATTGTTACATACTACTGACTGTAACCCCATCTCACTGTCACATCTATCTTTCATATTACGTATATAATATAGTTGTAGTTTCTGCATAACCACCACTAACGCCCAAACTTTCATTGATGCGTTCAAGCTACTAAACTTCTTTATGTATTCGACCTCAAATTCTTGGAGATGGTGAGTTCAACCAAACAAAATTTGGATGGTTTTATCAGTATTTCCTTTGAGATTAAAATTAGAGCTGCATCAAGATTGATATAACGATTAAAAGATTAGAAACAATGTAGATCCAATAGTTGAGCCTTGAGGAACTCCAGAAGGTAAAGTCTGAGAATGTTTCTCATCCGTAACAACATTGAATTGTGATCAAATAGAAATGATTCAATAATGTCGAAAATCTGACCAGATTTCGAGTGTGTCGAACTCTATCAAAATCTTTTGAAACATTCAAGACAATTGATTTATATCCAATTCGCAGAATCTTCTAGAGGTTATAATAACTAACAGATCAGCTGTAGAATTATATAAAAAAAAAACATATAGTCGGTCAATTAAAAAGCTATGCAATTCTAGGGGTCAGTAGTGGCTTATTCAAATCCTTGCCTATAATTGGCAGCCAATTTCGAGCAGTATGGAAAGAGGTTTCCGACAAACATTTGTTAATCAATTTCAAAAATATCAAAGGCAGTCGAGGAGAATATTTCTTCAAACCTAGGCCATAAAACAGTCCGGGAGCTCAGCTTGGCAATTACTTGGGAAATCATGGTATCGTAAAATCTCTTAATGCACAATTTATTGACAGCAATTTTGTAAACAATTCCACTTTGTCCTTGAATGAGCTTATAATTTTGGGGCTTTTGATAATTGGCAGTTTTTCTGTTGTTCAAGACATTATTGATGATATTCCAAATCTTTGGGATTCAAATTTCGAGCAACTGCAGGGTTTTATCAAATTTGCTTTCTTTTTTTGGCCTTGGTAGATGTTTTTCTGAAATTATTTCTAGGCTGCAGAATTAATTGTTCGTTTTTTTGGGATTCACTGCGGCAACAGCAATGAACAAAATATATTTCGTTCTGAACATGGTGGAGAGTTTGGTTTCAATTGGTACAGTCTATGGGAAATAAACTCATCAATACCAGCTGAGATAACAAGAAGAGGTTGAAGAGCCAAATTCAGAATCAGACATCAAACAAAGACCAAAAATTTAAGACGAATATGAGGGGTGATACGGTAAAAACAGGTTGGAAAAGTGACAAAAAGAATACAGGAAAGAACAAGAATATTAAAATGTTCATGAGCCCAAAAAGACTCAACAAAAGTTCTTTCACAGCCCATGGGCCAATTGTTTTTAGAAACTGCACCTCCATATCCATGTACAGGGGGCACATGCTCGGAGCTATTGGATTCAGGTTATTACTTATCGATCTTAAGATCAGTAAGTATGTTGATAGGTATTTGTTTGTCTGTATGTCTGTTTATTCGTCTGTTAGATGAACGCGATATCTCAAGAAAGCGAGGTTGAAAGTGGCAAAAACAAAACGATTTTAACATTAGCTCTTATGGTGAATGTGATCATCAGAGCAGAAATTTGTTTTTTTGTAATTTTCTAGTTATCCTTCATTGTAGACGTGTGCAGTTTTAAAAATAGAATATTTTCTATATATTTTTATCATGATAAACATGGTCAAGATTTTTATAATCGTTCATTGAAATTATAATGGGCGTAATGTTTCCACTGGCGTCTTTCTCACTATACCATGACATTCTGTCAACACGTTGTGGTCTGTGAAATATGCAGTCCAACTGTTCGCGTTTCTTATTATGTGATAACAGAATACCAGGACCACAACATACAGTGTTTGGAGTTTAAAGAAAGACCTATTTTAGTTAGTAAAGTTTAGCCGGAATGGCAGTCTGTGCACGTATTCAGTCAGATTCACTTTTCCTTACTCGCTTTGCGGGGTCTGGTGTAGTTTAGTACCACACGCACTTCTAGTTAGCCTGGCTCAACAACTTTTGCATATTTCATTTCTAACCCTCACCTCACTATGTCACCAAAAAATTACGTCACTACGACGCCACAGTTGCGTAATAAATACCTACAAAGTGTACAGATGGTCGTCCAAAACGCGCAGACGATCACCCGAAATCTAGCAAGCTATTTCTCTCGTTTTCTCATCGCAACGATCCCGATATGAGAGAGACCGCTGGCGTTAGTGAGTTCGGTATTGTCGGCGCAGATGGCATTTCGGACGATAGTAGCTATACTTGACAAGCTCTATGACATGATTGTGACGTCGTAGTGACGTAATTTTTGGATGATATATCCAAAATTCGTTATGCTACGCCAAACGGAAGTACCGGTACTTGTGGTACTAAACTATACTAGACCCGCTTTGCGCATATCCTACCGGTACAGCGAGCGACCTTTTTTTGAAGGCATGCTGACATGTTATTCAACCTAGTTATGATACAGTAAAGGTACTGTACCGTTATTGAATTAATGTGATAGGTTGGGGATATTTATCTTTGTTTCTGTATACAACTTCTCCTACCGGTACCGTATTTGCTAACATTTCCGTTAGAATTTAGCTTTCACCCCCTTGGTATGGTACTGGTAGTTTGAAATAAATAACAAGTCAGCGTGCATTCAGTAAATGGTTGCTAACTGTACATGTATAAATGCATAACACCAGTAAAAAACACGAGTGAAATGGTATTGATCAGGGGTCACCAAACTTTTTTGACCGCAGGCCAGATATGACTCAAACTGTGTTGAAGCGGGTGGAGGCTAACTCGCCATGAGGGCTAACTCGCCATGGACCACTCGCCATGCGACGGCGGTTAACGGGTTAGCCTGCAACTGTGTGGAGGCCCTTCTTGTAATGGGAGATGGAAAGGTGGCTGTTTATACTAACAACTTCAATAGTAAGGATAAATATATTAAATTAAATGTGTTTGGTTACAATACCTACTGTGCAAATGGTAACAAAGTGACAAGAAAACGGGCTTATATGTCGGAAGGCATACCGGTACCGTACGGTACTCGACGCGCTAAGGATGTCTCAACTTATCATTTTCATCTAAGCATGCAAAATATATCATCATATTAATTGATTGTATGCGCACTGAATCAACAACAACGCTAAATATATCAAAAGTTCTATTTTGCTACCGGCAGTCTCATTTTATTCTAACAGCCGTTGATTGCGAGCAGAGAGGGAGAGAGAGAGCTAACTTGCCATGTCTATTTTCTTTATAATTGACGATCGACATTGCGAGATCGAGAGAGAGAGAGGGCTAACTCGCCATGTCTTTATTCTTTATAATTGACGATCGACATCGCGAGTTCGAGAGAGAGAGGGCTAACTCGCCATGTCTCTATTCTTTATAATTGACGATCGACATCGCGAGTTCGAGAGAGAGAGAGAGGGCTAACTCGCCATGTCTTTATTCTTTATAATTGACAATCGACATCGCGAGTTCGAGAGAGAGAGAGAGGGCTAACTCCCCATGTCTTTATTCTTTATAATTGACGATCGACATCGCGAGTTCGAGAGAGAGAGGGCTAACTCGCCATGTCTTTATTCTTTATAATTGACGATCGACATCGCGAGTTCGAGAGAGAGAGAGGGCTAACTCGCCATGTCTTTATTCTTTATAATTGACGATCGACATCGCGAGTTCGAGAGAGGGCTAACTCGCCATGTCTATTTTCTATATAATTGTCGATTGCCCTGATGCCGGCTGATATTAGTGTTAAGCCAACTCACCACGACAAGGTTTCAGCCTTAGGCAAATGAAAAGCTGAAGGAAGTTTGGAGTGTTTTCAAGGACGGAGGATTATCTGCGGAGGCTCTCCTTCGAAGATGTTCAAAAATCTACGGCCCGGCCTTTTGTAAAGAGTAAGTAACCTAGTGTAAGTATTTTCCCCTTCCTCAGTTTTTTTTTCATGTACAGCTATGATGCCTATCTGTGCTTGGGTTTCTTCTGGTAAAAAGAAATTCTGACTCGAAGGCTGAAACCTTGTCGTGGTGAGTTGGCTTAACGCTAATATCAGCCGGCATCAGGGCAATCGACAATTATATAGAAAATAGACATGGCGAGTTAGCCCTCTCTCGAACTCGCGATGTCGATCGTCAATTATAAAGAATAAAGACATGGCGAGTTAGCCCTCTCACCCGCGATGTCGATCGTCAATTATAAAGAATAAAGACATGGCGAGTTAGCCCTCTCTCTCTCTCGAACTCGCGATGTCGATCGTCAATTATAAAGAATAAAGACATGGCGAGTTAGCTCTCTCTCTCCCTCTCTGCTCGCAATCAACGGCTGTTAGAATAAAATGAGACTGCCGGTAGCAAATTAGAACTTTTGATATATTTAGCGTTGTTGTTGATTCAGTGCTCATACAATCAATTAATATGATGATATATTTAGCATGCTTAGATGAAAATGATAAGTTGAGACATCTTTTGAGCGTCGAGTACCGTAAAACCGGCTAACTTCGGATGCCTTGTAACTTCGGATGAAATTTTCAATCATTCATATCTCAACTAAATTTCGTCGTATTGCGCTTCTGTCGGTTTCTATAGTAAGGCCTTACATATCTGAATCTGCCGTAGCCTCCAATCGCTTGATTTGATTTTTTATCATTCAAAAAATCATATTTTACCAAAAAAATGACACCGTTTTTTCGAGCGGCTCAAATCGTGACTTCTACAGATGCTACCTTCGTCAAATCACCGCCAAGCGCTAGAGGGCGTACACAATGTATACAAAAAAATACAGTGATCACAAGGTGTCGTACGAGATTCGAGTGAAATCGATTATTTTGATTTAAAAATTACATCAAAATATTGACGTTTTGATGATTACGTACAGCGTGACGTCAACGACGCAAATCCCTTTCTCTCTCTTCGTAGCCGACGTCACTTTGCGTAGCTCGTGCGTTACTCGCTGCGACATTTGAACGCCAGACATCGCGGCGCCCAGTTTCGTGAAATTTAAAAATTATGCTTATCCTAGTCACTAAATCCTACAAAAACATCACTATCGTCTCAGTCATATGTTGTTTATTTAAAAATATGGGTATGCATACGCTTAATGCATATGAAATTTGTCGATTTTTGTTTTTGCATACTTCCTCCGACACCGATAGATACCGTAGCAATTGGTAATAAGTTAGGCCTGAAACATGTATCTATACGATCATAATGATTAGATATGTCTGTTCATTCTTTACTTGTTCCATATTGCATTTCAATTTCAACCTACACCAGTGTTAGGTACTTTCAATTCTTCCGTTTTTTTTTTTTGTTAATCCTTTTCTTGCATTGAAAATAAACGATCATAAAAGAACGAACTAGCATTTTGCAATAAATTAGGAGTAGTTAGTGAAATATATACGAGTTATAATAAAGGACACAAGAATAAATAGTTGAGCTTCGCGAAGCGGCAAGAGTAACGTCACGTAGAAACGTCAGTATGCAACACGCAAGACGGGTCGTGGCGGCGTGAGGTCTATTCAGCGACGTTGTCACGCGTCATGGCTTACGCAGACATTTCTCTCTCACGACGAGTTGACGCAAAGAGAAAAGTGGCCATCCGAAGTTAGATAATTTTAGAATAGACGAATAAAGACAATAATTTTAATGAAAAAAGGCTTTGATGGATATGGAACCGACTTCATCAAGACGATAATAGCCACAATGTATTATATTTCAAATTTGGCTTCAGTTGAACAACATGCGGCATAGATATTGTTCAAAATATAGTGAAATCATCCGAAGTTAGCCGGTTTTACGGTACCGTACGGTACCGGTATGCCTTCCGACATATAAGCCCGTTTTCTTGTCACTTTGTTACCATTTGCACAGTAGGTATTGTAACCAAACACATTTAATTTAATATATTTATCCTTACTATTCAAGTTGTTAGTATAAACAGCCACCTTTCCATCTCCCATTACAAGAAGAGCCTCCGCACAGTTGCAGGCTAACCCGTTAACCGCCGTCGCATGGCGAGTGGTCCGTGGCGAGTTAGCCCTCATGGCGAGTTAGCCGTCAGTCGTTGAAACGGGCCGAACAAATATTTTTGTCAATGCAATAAATTCACAAAAGTTGGGAAATCCATTCAATTTATTCAACGATATATATGCTATATTTCGTAAGACTCGAATATTAAATTCTATCTATACCGGTATCGCAAAATATAGATCGAGCCCATACTATGAAAACAATTATACAACATTTCTATATCTAGACAACTATCCTGAGTTTAGCTGTTATCAAAACGTTGCAGTCATGAATTAGGATTCAGGAATGTTACAAAATCCGCTTTTTCGCTCCAAAAAATGCCAGTCTGGATTTTATGGCCTTTTTGAACGAGAAATCCGGCGTGCCATCAGAAATTCCCGCGTGCAAATTAGAATTCCTGGCGTGCAATTATAGCTCACGGCGTGCAACTGACTTTGACATTAGATACCTCCCAATATATCCACGTTAAATTACTGGTATCGGATAAAAAATACGTTGGATCAGAGCAAAAATGGACGTTTGACCTTTGACCCCAAACATTATTCCTACAGTTTGTCGCTAATTTTGAGAGTGTTTGTGCGACTCTAGATACCGGTACTGTTCAGTACATTCGTGTAAAATTATTGTATGGAAAATACGCTGAATCAGAGCCAAAATTTAATTCATAATTAAATTTCCCAAACACAACCAAAAACTAACGAATAGCATTCAAAATCGCAAAAAAAGGAAGTATTGTTTACAACCACGACTGAAAATCTGTCAGGGTGACAAAACAAAAGTATCTAAGCGGATGCGAAAAGGCCTATTATTACGTCACTTTTTGCATCTTGCTGATTGGACAATGTTACGAAATAAACAAGGAAGGCAATGCTTGGGGAAAATTTTCCTTGGAAAAAATATTCGCCATTTTTGCGTGTTATTGCGGGCCGGATAAAATGACGCCGCGGGCCGTATCCGGCCATAGTTTGGTGATCCCTGGTATAGATAAAAGACTGTCAATGTTAAACGCTTCCATTACCGGTACCGTATCCAAGGCAACATTAGCGCTGCAGTTAGCGCGCATATTTCATAGGTTGGCAGAATGTCAGGGTCTAGATGCGGCAAAACCCCGCCTATTAATGTACGATTATCGAAAAAATTTGACCACATTAATCGTCATAAAAATATGGAAGAATATCCAAAAATCACTCTATATATAAAACTTTAGATTTTCTAGTTATAAACATACCTAGAAAATCACAAAATATGCAAATTTCTGCCCTGATGATCACATTCACCATAAGAGCCAACCTTGAAATTGTTTTGTTTACGCCACTTTTATTTTTGCGCATAAAATGGGTTTTGAATGACTAAGGTCTATTGCAGAAAGCGGTAAGTGGTACAGCTTGGACAGACAAGCCATGATACTCTCGATCACTTTTTCATTATACGTTCAATCAAGCTGATGTAAATCCTAATATTAATTATTGGATAAGTGTTTATTGGTAATGAAAAATCAAGGCAGTTCTAAATCAACTGGGTGACAGTAACGTTTGACTGGGAATTGGAACAGGTGATACCCTGCCTGCTCACAAGTTTAACATAAACCTATTGGGGGTCTGAAATCATGATTTACAACCTGTGCTGTACAGAGCAAAAAAATTCAAGTGGTTGGAATTGATTGTCTTTACTAATGGAATGATTTAGCTTGACAAGTCGCATTATATCGATGCTATGAAATACATTCAACTTGTTCAAGAAACGGAAGTTGACGTAAATAAGATGCAGTTGTATCACTAACAGTAAATTCTGACAGATTTTGTGGGCAGTGGGTCAAACATGACCATGTGTTTCATTTGGCGCATCTTCTATTGCGTACAAGATAATGAACAATGTGAATTGTGCTACTAAAATGGAGCTGGCAGAGTGTATGACCAAGAAAGGTGTCACGCCACATCATTCCGAATTTTAGACAAATTAAATTGTAGGTTTCAGATTTTAAAAGAAAATAGAGGTGTCCAGGTGATTGTCATAACTTAAATATAAATACTACCTTGTTGGTACACAAAGATCATCCAGTACTGGTATGGTAGCTTCGATTTGGGGCTTGCGTATGGCTTTATATATGTTATTTGTGGATAAATTTGAACTTTTATGTTCAAGTATTGAATGCCGGCACGCAGCCAAGATTTTCAGTAGGGGGGTTTCAAAATCCTAATTGTAATTTAAATCTAATTATATTTAGATTTGATAATCATTTTTGTGATCTTGCGAATTCATTATCGCCGTTAGAAAAATCGCAAGATCTGTAATAAAATCCTGTAGAGTACAATTGAGTACATATAAAGTAAAGCAGTATATTGAAAATACATAACCATCGCCTCGGAATCCCTGCGAAACGGCATATTCGATGTATAATAATGATTTTTCTGCTGTGCAAAGTAATCAATCCATGACCAAGTATTTTATATTGCCACTTTTCAATCAAAAATTTACACTGTATTTATACACTAACCAATTACCTTAATTCTACGAATATGAATTCTTTTTAGTAGAATAAAAACTCACCCTGTACTTGTAACAATCATACTGCAGATATAAAACAAATGAAAGTATTCTTGAATTTCTTGACAACTTGCACTATAAATACCCGGATTACCAAAGTGTTCATGACTGTGAAAATATAAAATAAAACTTTTTAACATGTAACAGAGCTGACTCTGAATACTGATTTTTTTGTTGAGTTTTCGTTTTTTGAATTGAGAAAGATGATTATAATAAGAATAAAGCACAAATACACTTAATCAAATTATGATAATTATTGAGTAGTTGTAATTGCTTTAATAAACTTGATTGTTCCTGACCTCCAATCCTGATTCATGTAAGTACATCTTGACCAAGGAAGCCAAACTGATATGGTATGTACAATACAAACAAAAATAAAGACGACATATGACAGCTTGATTCGCACAATATTAGCATTGAGGCTTCGCTTCCATTTGCCAAAATTTCTGGGAAAGTGACGGAATATTGATAAGACTCTGTTATTTCGCAGCAGCAGCCACCAAACATGTTTTCCCGCTCTGTTCCGCATATTAAACATTGACAACGTTGGGGCAAGAATTTCAAATGGGAACACATAGAGCAGATCAATGCCAAACTTTCTAAATGTCAAGTAGTACTTTCCAATGTCACGGAAGCTTGTAACTTCCCCTGCAAAAAATAAAGTAAATACCAATTACAAGCATAAACAGTCTAAATATCTCAGAGAATATATGGAATATAATATTGAAAAAGATATCTTAATAAAGTTAAAAATTGAACACACAAGAATAAAACCATACCTATTTATATAGTCTGGTTCAACAGTATATTGCAACACAACTGTTTCCACCAGTTGCAGATTCATAACTTCAATTATTCTTTAGTTTCATTTTTAATTACAAATCGCTCACACAAAAGCCCTATTATTTTATGATTGTAAATTTTGCAATGTTCCCAATATTAACAGTAAAACAGGTAATCGAAGTGGATAGTAATGCTTCTAATGTGCCAACCTCAAAAACTGTAATGATGTTACAAATGAATAGGACAATACCGCAAATCTAACACTGCAAACTCATTAGCTAGTGTAAACGTAGCTCATCTACTACAATAATATTAACCTTACTGCTATGAATTAATTTTACCTCGGGTGGTTCGGATAACAGTCCTCATACTTATAAAGATATGTAACCAAAGTGAAAGATCAATTATCAAATAAGAAATGATAATATGTATCCAGCCATTAAGAGTTTCCACATTCAAGCCCATAATAGTAACATCCCATGTCCAAGGTATATCAACTCTGAACACAAAACAGCATTCTAATACAGCGACTTGACTTTTATCAAAATATGGACAGAGTATATATAAAGTTTGTGCAATTGACATCAATACTCGGTTTACATATATATATCATTCATATAGAAAATTACAAAAATATGTAGATGGTATTTATCTTAACCATATATACATCATTAAATACCTTGTCATGATTAATAACTATACCGTATTTTATGGACTATAAGGTGTAGTTTATATTTGCTTTTTTCGCAAAATTGATTGTGTGACATTCAAGCCGGTGCACTTAATGTGAGGATCAGGTAGTGGTTTGTGCTTTCTTGCCTACACCAATATTGGAATTGCTTTAAAACTTGTTGCTCCCCATAGTCCCAGGAACCTTATGTTTAAATAAAAACCCCTTTATTGACAGTGTGCATTATGGTGCGACAAATGCGTTCATTATAAGCCCAAGAAAATAGCATAAACAATGAGTAATGCCAGGCAAAACAATTGTTTGTGGCATATAATAAAGGCATTAGGGTTTCCAAATTATAAACTCAAAAATGCTTATTTAAGGAATTCAAGAATTCAATGGAGTTGCTTTTTATAAACGTTTTAATACCATCTTAATATCATTGGGAGCAATAAAAAATATGGCTCTTTACAAATGATTTGTGCGGATATGCATGTAATTCGGTAAACATCAACAACAATTTGCAACATTCGAAAAGTAAATAAAGATGATAGGTAATTTAAGGGTAATAGTATGCATATCTGATTTACATTGGCCCATAGCAATAACCAATATAAGAATTGAAGTTGAAAATTGTTACTTTCGATCAATGATAGCAAGGCTCCAACAACAAACTGTGAATATTCTTACACATATCCTGTAGTGAGGTTGCCTGTTATCCTTTCAGATAACAGTCCACCGACTCCCAGAATGCATCCAATAGTCCCATTCACGTTGGATTCAGTTTTACACACTTGAAGAGATTCAAATATTTTTTCATCATCTTCCATATCTACAGCAACATCTAGTACTGGCAGATTGTCAAGGCATGTTCTGCCACATGGATTTACTTATAAAAAAACAAAAATTTGACAAGCTCACTTTGGGCTATAATAAACTCTCACAGCTCTCACAAGTTTATCTCATATCAAATTTTTATTTAACAAGCTCACTTTGGGCTATAATAAACTCTCACAGCTCTCACAAGTTTATCTCATATCAAATTTTGTTTGATTTAATCGAGTACAGACACAAGAAAATGAAGGACAAGCACAAAAATGTAGTGAGGCGAACCCCACAAAGTAGTTTAGACAGAACTTATTAACTTGCAGTGTGAAAAACTGCATAACCGGTGCATAATAAAAGCCATGGTTTTACCCCTTCTTATTATCTGGTTCATACAAAACATGGTTGTTTGAAACAAAAATGCAAAGAGAGACAGCGCTGTAATATATCTTTCCCAGAACCAATAAAATTTTCCGTTTGTATGGCATATTGTTGCTTCCTCAATTCTTTGAAATAAAGTCATCTGGAATTTTAAAAATTGAATGATACATTTTTTGATAAATTTGGTCAATAGAGATCTACAATATATATTTACTGAAGTTAAACTTATACTACCTAAGTTACATTGTTTCTTATTCAAGTAAGCTTATATATTGAAAGTTTCGACTGATAATACAGCAAATAAAGTGTTAATTTATTGAATATTCTACCCACCACGGTCACATATACATCTTTGTAAAAAAGAGCTGCACATTCTACAAAGCGATATTTATAAAGGAAAACTTAAAACAGAACTTTCAGAATAATGTTTCACAACCTTACTGAACTGACCCTTTCATTTAGTCTTTTATTGCACATAAGGTGATTTTAGGAGTTGTACAACTGAACAAATTTAATGCGCATTAATCAATCAATCCCCTTAGCTTATATCAGTAGGACTGTTTGAAATATTTTACTTAGTGTATATCCACTCATGGTGCAAAGTCTATGTAGACCCTATATGACACTAATTTTTCATAGAAATAAAACTTAATGGATAAAGTATGGTAAGATATACTTTGAACAAATGTCTAAAAGCTGATATATAAAAGCTGTTGGATATAAATTAAAAGGTCCAATGTTCAAATATGTGCATACATTTTAATATTACATATGAATATAACTGATTAATACTTGTTCACCAACCTTGTTTGAATCATCATTTCCATCCTCAGCAAAGTTTTTTCCATCTGAAGGTAGACCTATATGAATAACTTAAATTATTCAAACATAACCTTCCTAATTATTCAGAGAATACAGCATTCATTCAGTAATAATATTAGCACCAAATGAAAATCGTTGGTTGTTGATAAAAAATACCTTCGAGTGAAATAATAGATTGATCTTACAATGTCTGTTCATTGATTATATCAAGTTTATACCCTATTTACCATACTTGTCCTTGCATATTTTAAATTAAAATTATTGTTTGATGCATTTTTTATCTTTTGTCCTATATGGATATTTTATTTATCTGAGGGACAATAAATTAAACATCATAAAATAACTCAATTAACGGCCTAGGAATTTATGCTTTTGTTATATACTGTACCTCCCCCTATATCACAAAAAGTGACACGAGACAGACCAATTCCATCATACTCCGTATCTGCAACTTCAGTCATTCTTACAACTCCAGAAACATTTTCAGAAGGTGACTCTACCTTTTGATGATATTTTATTTTCTGTATTGAGTCTTCTAAATCTTCAACTATACTTTTTCTATGGCCTTTCATAATTCTGTTAATTAAACATGTCTGTATGATAGCTAGAAAAATATGTGAAATATACAAAAACAAATATTGTTTAGTTTATTAAATATTTAAAGTATGTACATATATGCTATAAATAATAACATGTAAAATTTGAAAAATATGCGGCTCACTTTTCCAAAATGACAGAATCTGATAATGTAGGGATATCAAGTGGCCACCTGCATGAAGCTTTACATCTTTCTCTGATAGCATCCTTAATTTGATCAGAAGCTGAAATTACAACAAATATAGCTTTTACCAAGACTAGCTGGTTATGGCAAATTTGTATAGAATTGTGGAAGTAAATAAGAAAGCAATTAGAGTGACTCTTCACAAACTAATATTTTAATGTCCATTACCTTTAATAAAGTATATATTATAATAGATTATAAACTAAGCGCTTACTGAATCAAAATAAAATCATTCATAATTGAGAGTAGATTAAAATCAGTATCAGACAATTATAAGTATCAACTATTATTTGTGTGATGTTTGGTGAATTTACTGCTATTTGAACTCATCAGAGAGTGTGGATTTCACCTAGCTACTAAACAGAAAGGTCCCCAAGCTATCTTGCGAAAAGAAAACAAAGTTCACCTTCAGGATAGTCTACAATGACTTCAGCAAATGCATGTTTGTCCAGCCACAATAACTCACAATCTGTCAGGCATCTAATTGTGTTTAAACGAGGCAAATCAAAAAGTAAAAACACTTCTCCAAAGCATTCACCTTCTGATATAGTATCAATGACTTTTTTTTCTGACTGGTCCAAAATCTATGACCAAAAATAAAATTTTATGGTCTATACAAAACTTCATATGATTTCAGTCAGAAACAAACCTGAACTAATCCTCGGTGAACATAGCACATTGCATCAGCAATCTCTCCAGAACGCTGAACATATTGATTTTTCAAATATATTCGATGCTCTGACACTCGGGCAAGTTTTCTACACAAAGCGCCTTGAGTTCCTTTCAACAAGCTTGCCTAACAAAAATGATGCGTATGTTTCAACTGAATTTCATACTACAACTTATGTATACTTGAATAAATGTATAGTTAGATTCTTGGCTAAAGACATATTTGAAATAAAAGAATCAATAGAAAGTGGAATTGAAAAGTAAAAAACTCACTCCATCCAGCAGTGGTTTGAATGCATATTCAGTGAAAGTTCCATGTAGACAGTCAGGCAAAATATCCAATGTTCCCATGTCATAGATCATGAGACCCTGAAATCTATGCCATATGTAGTCACAATATCCAGAACACACACTTTTGACCTGCTCTCTGACACACATGTTTTCCTTAAATGAAATAACTAAATCACTTTTAGACTAGACAGGTGGCTTCATAAATAACCTATGGATTTCATCTCAGTTACGGCTTTGTGTTATTTTAAAATATAGATTCCAATTTTCAAAATGTTCGAAAACATATACATGTAATTTTTATCACTATACAATTATTATCAATGAGGTTTTTTTATGAATCGCATATTATAATTACTCTAAGACTAAATTTTCACTAGGCCCTCTAATGTATTGTTCTGATCATCCTTTGGAGCATCATGGTTTTAGGCACAATGCAGCATATTTATTGAAAACGAATTGCCAAAAATAATAGGTAGTGATATCAAACAGGGAACTACTTGCGCATTTTGCTTTAATTCATGAAATAAAGATGATCAACAAAAGCATAATAACAAAATGATCCATATCTACATAAACATTTTCAGATTATGTAAAACCCATTAATAGAAACTCAAATGCCTTTTGCCCTTATCCATTGTGTTACTTTTACTTCAATATTGTATATTACCGAGTTGCATTAATTATTTTTAATGTTTAGACACATTCTCAACACATTAAAATTTTGTTTCTGATCCATTGCGTATATATATATATATAGCCTATATATATTCTTTTTTCACATATATTTTGACAGTTTCGATTATCGAAAGTTATTATCATCCAAAACCTATTGAAATTAGTTGAGTGAGTTAGTTTTCAACTAATTAATTATCCATTTCCACCACATTTTTTCTATACCCACATGTATAAATTACTTAAGAATTCTCAAATTTGGCCACTGGTCATCTTTCAAATGTTAATCTTAATCACATCAGAGTATATGGTGGAAGCTGACCTCGTATGCAATTTTGCCATAATTTTGATTTGCAAACTCACTTCCGTAATGATCCCATAACAAGATTGAGAGTTTTACTTACACATTACACCTACTGATTTTCTTTGGTCACGAAAGTTTAGAATCCAGACCATTGGTTCTCAAACTGGGGTCCGCGAACCGATTTTAGGGATACCACAAAACAACTTTAACCTCGGCACAGAAGCACTTTGATTTGAAGTGATATTTTGATGTCATGTCATTACAATGTTTTTCCAAAGCACGACACGCTCTACCGAAGACATTATTACGTATAACAAACGTTGGTGAACGTGTCAAGTACCGTAAATCAGAGCGTATTGTTTATGGAAGGCGTGTGGGTCTGGTTGTAAATTTTACGAGGTAATTTAAAAATGCGATTCATATGTAAAATTTGATTCTGCCGTGATAAGTTCTGGAGGAAAAAAAACCACAGTGGCACCGTCCTATCCCGATTTCGCTAAGATGGCGCTAAAAATGCTTATTCTATTTGCAACAACTTACGAATGTGAGACAGTTTTTTCTACGTTACTCGCTATTGAAACAAAATGTTGAAACAGAATGGACGTGTGACACGATATGAAAGTTGCATTATCCAAAACAGAACCCAAGTTAGAAGAGGAAACTAGTAGGAGCCAAGCAGGCGTACCCATCTCATCGAACTGTTTTAATATCATTCAATGATTGAATGCTTGAAATACCGCGTTGCTATTTGCTTTCATTTATTTAGTGGACCACGAGTAATCAGAAAAACTGAAAGAGGGCCGTTCTGCATAATTTTTCAAAAAGTTTGAGAACCACTGATCTAGATGAAGGGCTCCCGGTAAATTCAAATTATGTAGTAAAGTTGGAAAATGAGCTTCTACTGAGCAACGCGATATCGTGCCTGGATACAATTTATTCATGGTTCAATCATGGATCACAACCATGTTGCCTGCTGCCTATAAATTCATCAGTGAAATTTTGAGCCCAATTGTGAGGTGTGAAAGGATAAGGAACTCAATGTCAAAATCCTATGACTTATAACATCTTTAAGGTTTTGACATTGTCCCAAATGATTACTTTGAGAAAGTGTTGAAGCCCAATGAAAGTATCTATATATGTAAAAATTACCAAAAAAATGATCTTGATGACCAATAAAAGTATCTAAGTATGTAAAAATTACCAAAAAGATGATCACAGAGTCGACCAATTTTTTAATAATCATATTAAACAAAAGCAAAATTGTAACGACAATGAAGGCATAAAACTACATGCGATTTACTGTGCCCTAATCTCTTTAGTGATACAGGCATTTTGCGCTATACCAAACGCTTCTCAGTTTTGTTCACGAGGTGAAGGACTGATTGTTTGGCACGAACTTAACTGGGGCAAACGCTTTGTCATACCATTTTTTAATATCAACGTATACTCTCGCATATAAGCTGAGTTTAAAACTCCAAAAAAAGTTGTCAACTAAGGGGCCGGCTTATATGCGCATAACTCAGATCAACTAAAAAAACGGAATGACATTATGCTATCGCCGTATGCAAATAACGCTGCACCACTTTTAATCATTTTTAAGATATGTTATCTTTTTTAGTGGCGCTGATAAGAATTCTTATCTCCATGACAATTGAAATATTTACATTACCATCAATAACTTTTCAGTTATGATCATACATGAAATGGCTTATTACATTCTACCAGGCAGAGGTACAACTCCATTCTATTTATAGAACTAGCGTTTTCTGTCCATACTAAATTGCCTCTTTCTCCTTGTGGAAATTGTCATTTCAAATGTTGTTATTACGTTATCGATAAAAACGTTTCAGTTGTGACCATACATGAAACGGCTTATTACATTCTACCGGGCAGTGATACAACTTTTACCAATATCATTTTCAATTTTTCGACATAATGGAAATAAATGTTATATAAGAGCCTTGCATGGAAATGGCAGCAATGTCCACCACACAACTACGCAAATGTGTTGCAACAATAGGAGACGCAGGGCCGCACAGAAGATAAACAATCAAAGTGCCCATTTTTTTATTGTCATTACAATATCTGGCAAGCGCTAAAATTCGATTATTTCTCTTGAAAACGAAACCCTGTGATGGCGGCAAAAAGTGGCTATCATTCGAAAATAAGCTGAAATAGTATAATACTTAGATATCCTTGACTGTAATAGGTGCGTAGGCGTGTTACAGTCCGTAGTGTCAGCTTATATGCAAATTTTCATAAATCCTCTATTTTAAAGCTGTTTTTAGGCTTATATGTACAGTAGGCTTACATGTGAGAATATACGGAATGTTGAAGTGTTTTTATGCGTCTTTGAAAGAAATAAAAACTGGGCGAAAATATATCAGATAATGAAACAAAGTATTACCAATTCCCCTTTGAAAGCATCATAATAATGAACAAATGAGGCTCGACGTGCATCTGCATTCAAAAGCAAAGAGGTAATTCCTGAAACAGCCATTCCATATAAGAAAGCCATTCCAATTAACATTGCAAACACTGAGAACACCTGTTTAAATATATGGTATGGTTTTTTGTTCAGACAGCTGAGGCAGGAAAATACCATATACGAATTATTCCCACACTGACAGAGAATGCTAAATAAGTATATTTCATCTTTCAATCAATTCATCAATACATGATGTAAATCGCAACTCTGACAGATACTACAATCTACATACATCATAACTGAAAAATTTACCTTTTCAATGATAGTATGGGCATGTACATCACCAAATCCAGTTGAAAAGGATGAATGAGCAGCCCAGTAAAGACTTATAATATAGGAGGGAGCCAAATGCCGAACTTCATCAGTAACATCTTCTTCCATTTTATGAATATTAACATTCAAACGCTCGTTCATATTAACTAAAAAAAATCTGTATCAATATCCTTCTAATACCACATAATAACAAACTTTATTGATCTTACACAAAAGAGCATGGTATAACCAGCTATTCCCTTGACACATGCTTATTCTGAATTCTTCATAACCTGGATTCGCACATGAAACACCATAAAATCCCAATGCTGAGAAATGAATCACCATGCTTGATAAAGTTATGTAAAGCGTGGTTCTGAATTTAACAGTGCTTGATCCAGGTTCTTCTTGTCTACACCCTGAAACAGTAGAAAAAAAAAATCAGACAAGTGTTAATAAAGTGATATAGTTTTTTTCAAGTTAATATAAAAATAAATATCCTAATATATCGTAGTTTATTTTTATAATCATCCAGTGGAAAATAAAAATCAGATCAGTGATAATAAAATAATACTTTTTTTCAGGTTAATGATAAATAAATAATATTGTTTCTTTTAATAATCATTCAGCCATATAAGATAAATCTTACCGATGTAGTACAGAACGTAGTGAAGTCGGAGATAGATCTTCTGCTTATCAATGACATAAAACCAATGTTCTTCACCAGGTAAAATATATCGAAGAAATGAGAATGGAAGAATGGTTATCAAATCCAGGAAAAATCCGATACTGGTCTGATATCTTTCCCGAACTTTCAAAAGATTTCGTTCTTCAACCCCATCAATGAGATGCCCAGTTCGTGATCGTAAAAACATAAGTATGATGTACAACAAATCAGCAAGATCACCAAAGCCAGATGTTGACAATGAGTAATCGAAGACGATGATATATGAGTTCAGAAACACACAACAGATAACAAAGAAAAATGACCCACATGAGTGTAATATCTTAGGTAGTTGTTTGTACCCAAGAGATGGTTCCGCTACAAAACGAATATGGTTCAGCAGATTCATCATTTTCATAGCCTGACATGACATTTTCAATATCTTCAATCAGTTTCTGATTGCTTGACTTTTTCAATGCAAGACGGTGCTCCGTTGTTTAGAGCTATGTAAGATATCAGCATCAGCCATTCTGTTTGATTGTTTTAAATCTTGTCATAGCAAAATTATGAGCTCCACTGATTCCACCAAGTTGAATATTTCAGTATTTTATGAGCTACATTTTATTTTCTGTATAACAGGGCATGGTATGTTAAAAAAAGGAATGCAGTTGGTTTTATCTGTCCTATCACCATTGTCTTTTCCGCACACGATGGGTAAACTACAAAATATAATTTGCTCGAAAATTTTACAATAGCAATGTGTTGAATTGTTGGGCATTAGAGATGTACTGACAGTTGCAGTGTTGATCATCTGTGTGGGAGGGGCACCCTGAATTCTGATCTGGATACACGTCGTGCTCACGCATCTTACGTGGATCATGTTGAATTCTATCTATCCTACCACAATGGAAAGCGATAATGGGATAAAAATTAATCGCATCAATATTGCCACGTCAAATAAGCCTGTTCACTCTCATTCGGTCCAAACAAGAATAACAATGCAGCCTTGCGGGAGTCTCCAAAGAATGCATTTATTTTTATTTTCGGGGGCATTTTAGTGCCGAAATAAAATATTAATTATTGTTTTAGATTCCGAAAGTAGATCATGATTATTAATCATTTATTTGAATTTTCAAGTTTTTGAATACCATGATTTAATTGCACCCAGTTGAAAAAGTCCTATTACATAGAAAAGTTACAAAATCATTCAATACCAAATTATGAATTAAATATATATTACATCAATGTCCATTTGAAGTTCAATATAGTTGATCCGTGTTATCATTTTGATATTAAATTAAAATTAAAGTTTTTAAAAATTAGATAGGAATCAGAAAAACTTCCATACCATTATTATAAGTTTTTTCTACTTACTATCCATGTCAACGATCCACTATAAATAGATACGGGTACCTTCAAAATTTAAATGAAATACCACTATACACATTCTTTCCCCCATATACTTGATTGTAGCTTTAAGCTTCCATTTGAACATTGTTGGCAGGGTCGATTGGTAAGTATCCCTGTCTTCAAATAATATGATTTCGAAAATCCCATATTATTGCCCGCTGCGCGATGCAATAATTAGTCCTAAAATTGGTATTACATTTTGGAGTAAAATTATAGTTCAAAGACTGTAATGGAGAATAATCCTGTAATCCTGTTTCTAATGCCTCATGTCCGATTTTCCATCCTAAAATTTGCAGCTTTTTGGGAATATAGTAATTCCAAATATCTATCCATTTTATATTGTCTATGATTATACCTCTGAGCAATATGCACTACTTTTTATTAATGAAATTATCATGCCAGTCTTTTTTTTCACACTTTATATGCAAATCTTTTGTTGTATGAATTTCTTAAAATCAAATGGATTTACATTATATGTTATGAGAGATAGTAGGTTACCATTATTAGCCATGTTTTGTCCAAAAAAATAAGCTAATTCTCTTAGTATTAAAACCTAGGTATACTGTATATTAATCTTTCATTACAAAAATCAAAAAAATAACCACAACCACCTACACAGCTAATGTAACAGAAGAAAACAACATCAGATAAATGACAAAAATACATTACAAGTCTGATCCTTTCATAATTATGTCCTTAACTTTCGATATTTTTTGATAATGACTGGGGAGATATCCATCTCTCTTTTTTCAAAAGTCATTTGTTGTTGCCAGAACTGCCAGAAGTTTTGCCTCTTCTTCATTTGGATGGACATCATCTTCTTTATAAAGTGGGTCGTTGTTTTCCCAGATTTTTCATTGTTAAGTCTGCAACTTGGATGTCAAGATGTATAGCATTCAGTTTATTGATATTGTTAACTTGACTAACATCTATTTTCTTTTTTGTTAGACTTTTATATGGCACAATTTCCATACAATATACGTTTATAGCGGACTGATTGACACATTTCAATATTCTCTCTACTTGATGATTAACGGTTTCAACATCATCATATAAATGATTTGTGCCAAAATATAAGGCAAGATTTTCTACATGGATCTTTAGCTTTTAACCATTCTTCGCTATGCATAAATGTACCGTCTGGTATATGAATTGTTTTGACAGTTTGTGGTGATACTACGTCTTTTATTCTGTTAAACCTGTGAATCCCTTAACAAAAGGATCTTTGGCTGACTTTCCAGCTTTTCATCTCCAATCTGATTTACTTAAATATTATTTTCTGATATATCACCTTCATTACTCAATTTCAATAATGATGGGGTTGCATCTATTTCTAGTTGGTCGAGTTCCATATGTTCCTCATTGTGTTCCTTTGATTGACAGTGGTGATTGTGATATTTTATTGTCAATTTCAGTCAGCGAAGTGGTCTCTCGAATTTCTCGAAGTGGTCTATTGAAATGGAAAGATTGTTGGTGCTTAGGTTAGAAGATCAAAATCAAAGGCGTATTCCGGTGAGCTTTATGACGATTCAAAAGAAGGCGAAAAAATTGTTTGAAGCATTAAGAAAAGAAAGGGGAAAAGAAGATGAAAGAGAAGAGTTTTCAGCTAGTAGGGGTTGGTTTATGCGATTTAAGTCTAAGGCCATTTACCATAACCTTAAATTGAAAGGTGAAGCTGCTAGTGGAGATGAGAAAGCAGCAAGTGAATATTTCAAAAAATTGGCTGATATAATTACGGAGGAGGCGTATTCTGCTTATCAAGTGTTCAACGTGGATGAGACTAGGGGGAAATGCAGCTGGCGACTTCAAACTGAGGCTCTTGCTGGGATATCTGGCTGAAAATCCAAGGGCGCTCAAGGGAATTTGCAATAGTCAACTCCCAGTCATTTGGAAGGCAAATAAGAAGGCATGGGTGACACTTGCAGTGTCCGAAGATTGATTTACTAACCATTTTGTGCCTAGTGTAGAGAGGTATGGAAAAGGATAACCCATTTAAGGTGCTACTGGTGTTGGACAATGCCTGAACACCCTGCTAAGCTGGGAGACTTGAATGTCAAAGTGCTTTACCTTCCACCCAATACCACGGCCCTTTTACAGCCTATGGGTCAAGGAGTGGCCTATGGGTCGGCAAACTTTTGTCGTTAGCGGGCCAAAATTAAAGGTTTTAAGTTATTGGGAGGGCCGCACATATTTTTAGAAAATTAAAAACCGAGGGAATGACCAATGAATCACATTTTTTCACACAGATTTCAGTTAAATTTCAGCGCGCGAAGACTGATCATTTGAATATTTTCTGCGCCATTAAACCATTTGCACTCATTATCAACTTTTTTACGTTCTGTTGCCATTTGTCTAGTTATAATCAATTTATAGGCTCATTGAATGAGTGATTGTGAATTATATACTTGTCAGGTTATATTATAATTCAGTGTCTCTAAACAAATTCTGTTACGTAAAGAATATAATCGTCAATACAGTTGTTTTGTTACTATAATTCAGTGAAGCGTCGCGGGCCGGATTATATTGTTCCGCGGCCGCGGGCCTACTATCTCAGACAGACATTCGCTATGGCGTTACAGGCAACTGAAAGAAAGAAGGATTTGACTCTGAAAAACTTTTGGAAGTCTTACAATATCCGTGATTGCTGTTACAGAACATTTGCTGATTACTGGGAGAAGGTGAAGGTTACAAACATGAATGGTGTTTGGAGGAAACTATGTCCTCAATTTGTGAACGACTTCCATGGGTTAGAGGAGAGAGCTAACCACATTATTATGAATATTGTTGATTTGAGTAAGGAAATTGATCTGTATGTGGAAGTTGATGTTATAGAGTTGTTGGAATTTCATGGAGAAGAATTATCTGCTGGAGACTTGATACAACTTGAGAAGCAGATCCTAGAGGAAGAAAAAACCGCGACCCCAGAGCCTAAGGCTTTCACAAGGCGAGGTTTGTCAAAAGATTTTGCTGAGATACAGCAAGCGTTGGCAACTTTTGAGGCTCAGGAATCTAACATGGAAAGGTTTGCTAGGGTTTCCAGAGGCATTATGGATTTACTAGTGTTACAAAAAGATTTTAGATGAGAAGAAAATGCTGTTTGTCCAGTCTAACATGGAGCAGTATTATAACGAAGTTGAGAGACCTGCGCTCTTTACATCAGCTGCCTCTATTACTACAGAGCCTCTACCGTCTACCTCAGCGGCCTCTACTACCCCAACTTCTCCACCATCTTATTAATACTGTACTGTTTTTGCTTTTATTACTTTTCAAATCTAATTAAAACGGAATGGAGAGATTCTTCTTTTCTTTCATCGTCGTTGTCACGTGTATTTCTTCCAGTGTAAGAGATGGTTTCTTCACTACCAGTATCAGAATTTATGTAAATTTATTAATGTGGGCGCATGTTGCCAGGCGCGCAGCCAGGATTTTTAAAAGGGTGGGTTTCAAAATCGGAAATTACTAATGCCGTCTGTAACAGTCACCGCGATCACGCGCTCGTTAATAGAGCCGCCTTTTCAGCTTCTGTCGCGTAAAATATTCAATTCATGACTACGAGACTACAACTACGAGATTCTAAAATGTCCTTACGTATATATTAATTTTATTGTCCCTGACGCAACTCGTGGTCTCGACTTTCTACGTCAAAATAAAAACATTACAGCCGTGGACATAAAACAATGAGACAAGCTGCCTGATATATTGAATTTTGATTTTTGCAATTTTGTGACCTCGTTATCGCCGTTAGTAAAATCTCGATATCTGATATAAAATCATGTTTAGTACAATTTTACTTCATACAATGAAAATAGATATTAAGTATACCAGTAAATCAAAAATACAAATTCACCGCCTCGAAATCCACGCCGAACAGTCGCCGCGATTACGTCACTTGTTAAAAGAGCCGACTTTTCTAACGAAAAATGATTTTTCTCTTGCGCGAGGTAACCAATCCATGACCGATAAGGTCATATTTAAAATGTCCTGCTTTATTAATTTAATTGTCTTCAATTTAACGTGCGGTTGCGCCGACAAAACAAGAGCCACTCTAAAACACCACGGAAATCCGCGGACATAAAAATGTGTGGTAAACTGCCCGTTTATATATTGTTTTGATCCGTATTTTTTCTATTTTGCGAATTCGACAAATTTGAGATGTGCTTGTAACATTGACTCCGTTCAATCGCAATGCTGCCACTTCGATTATTTTTAAAGATAAAATCTGCTGTAAATTCTCATGGAG